CGCAAACAAAATACAATTGTGCGCAAACGAAGCGAAAACGATCAAATGAAAAAAAAATGGCAAATTTGAAAAATGGGGGGCCAGTATGGAATTTTGTGTTTGGAATAACTCAAAAACGACGGGGGCGGAAACGAAGGTATTGGGAGCGCAAACGAAGCGCAAACGATCACAAGAAAAAAAATGTCAAATTTGTAAACTTGGGGGGGCAGTTGTGAAGTTGGCGCCCCCAAATTTGATTCCTTCGTCATTTTGAAACCGGCAGCGCGCAAACAAAATGCAAATGTGCGCCAACGAAGCGCAGTCCATTTCAATCACGAAAATTATTGCTTTCTAAAGTTGGGGGGCCAAGTTCACACAGGTCCCTTACACTACTCACCATTTTGATTCGATTGTTTTCTCCACATACTACTCGACTTAACACATCTTTTGATATATTTACAAAACGGACTTATCAATTAACCTAGGATTTTAGTCCCATCCTCAGCTAGGATTGTAATTTCCTCAAGTTCCTATTCAAACGAGAAACTATATTTTGAATAAGGGATCGTTAACCCTGTCTTTTTTAACCCGGAGTCCCTACAGTCACCCCTCAGCTTTATACTGTCCTCCCGTTTGTATCGTAGTCGGTTCCGCACGACCTTGGAACTGAGAGAAATTGATTATTATAAAAATATAAAAATAAATTTACGCACACCAACCCTTAAATCTCGCCCATAAAGTTTATACACATTAGTAGGCTGTATTTAAGGATTGGCTGGGTTCTCTTATGAAAGGTTTAAACGAAAGGCTCTTTCAAGCCTCCCGTAAGCAGTAAATTACGTCAGGCGAACGTTTTATTTGGCTTAAGCACCTATAATAATGTTGGGTCACTCTGTATGTCTAATTTCAATTTTTTATTAACGTTAGATGCGGTTATGGGATTGAGCGTAATACCGATCTTGTCATTTGATTTTGAAGTCGGTTTTGTTTTGTATCAAAAGCTATTCCATGTGTTTCTCCGATCGTAGATAAGAAGATGCTTATCGCTGCGTACACTAATTAAATTACAAGATAAGAACGAGGTAAAAAAAATGACACCCCCACTTTTTTGACGAAAATACACGTTTTGAAACACCAGATGCCGAAAGTACTTTGGAAAATTTAATCAAAATTGGCATATAAAGATGTGGTGTTTTGTGGACTTGGTGGAGTGAACACTTCAAATGCGAAAATCTAAAGCACTGGGTGTCGAAAGGAAGTATTCGCAAACGGAATTTGATCTGCGTTAAGCACCTTAGTGGAGTCAAAACTTTAAATCCTGATATCTCAAAAAAGTAATGACGAAAAAGGGCATTTACAAAGCGAAAATTGTTGATCTACACCAGACGCATCAGTGGATAGACAGACACTTTAAATGTGAATATTTCGAAAACAAAATGTCGAAAGAACGCACTCGCTAAAGTCAAAGCGAAGTATGGACAAGAGGCATCTGTCTGTGCGACCAAAACTTCAAGTGCGAAGATCGCGAGAACGGAGTGTCGGAGGAGGTTATTCAAATGAAACATCCGAAAAAGAGATATCGGATCACAAAGTGCTAGTTCGAGTATTTCCAGATCGGTCCGCTATTTGCTATATGCAACACTCTTACACTCGGCGGTGTTGAAAAAGCGATCACGTGACGAAATAAGCTAAATGTGGATCCAATAGCATTCCGTTTAGAAACAATGTGCGAAACTGCGATGGAATGTGCTTAATTTTCTACTAATAATGGAGTGAATGCCGTTTGGTGGGAGATGTTTATTGTAAAATAAGTGAGAACAAGGTGGGATGCCAGAATTGAAGACTTTGATATAAAGAATATTTTCCCAAACAGCTTGCAATTTTTGTCACACGGTACAGTACTTTCAAAAACCATCACTTTAAAAATTACAGTTCCATAGTAACCTCAATTCTCCCACACCACAGTATATTATTACCGATTGTGTAATTTTCTAAATTCATTTCAAATTACAGCGCATAATAAGTAAACGAGAGAGTCGATTCCGACCAGATAGCAACACGAATAAAAGGGCATACATTAAAAAAGCAAAAAAATGGACTGTAGATTTAAAATATGCTTATTGAATCACATTACCGACGCGTTGCAAATGCAATTATGATTTAATATTTTCCTGGTAAAATATCACATTTAGCAATTCTCCATTTTTATGAGCGGAGCTCGTTTTAAAAACCAATTAGCTTTCCCTATACTAACATAATTACAGTTCCCTATACGAAAAGAGAACGGTCCTCCCCTACTCGATAAAATAGCCATTCCCACCCCTTGGATTAATAATTTGTACGTTACTACCCTTACGTCGCAGCTGAATTATAATGCAATATTGCTTATATTGTAACACTGTTACGCTGTTCCGCAATTTATGTCATTTAATCATTTGCCTTATTGTATTCATATATCTTACATATATCATTATTATACATATAAGTATTCAAAGAGCGATTTATACACACGACACAAATCATTTACGTCCCAACACGGAATACTTGAAAATTATTAGGAGTTTGTTATGAATAACAAGTTCGTGCTTCGAAACTTTTCTAACTCGACGATTTGCATCCTTTGAATTAATGATGCAATTAAAATTAGATTGTTCGGTGGTAATAGTATGGTGCACATGATCGGCTTTCTATACGCGTTATTAATTTCTCAAGGTGTACATGCCTATACCAAACCAGCTTTTATATTAATTTACAAACTTTTTAAATAATTCGTTTTTAAACGACCTTAATTTCGGAATCTTGCTAAAGTTGTTAAGGGAACAACATTAAGCTACGAGATGATTTTAATGAAATATTTTATTAATCTCCATTAAAACTTAGTTAGGAACCATATAATGAACAATTAAAAGCGGTTGTTCCCTTTATTTCTTTATCGTCTTCGGCTATATCGAGTAAAGGGTTTAGACTCGGAAATGAAGCGTCTCAGATATTTAGAAATTTTGAGTAATAACATTAAAATTCTACTCTCTGTTGTGAAAGTTCAATTTTTGTAGATGCTGTTGGACAGACAATAGCTTAACTTAACGAACGAACTGAAGCTTTAAGTTACGTTAATTTATTGATTAATTTATTTAATTGTGCTCTCGACTGCTATCGGTTTTTTTCTGTTAAAATGTTGTATACAGGGTCTCTGAAGTATATTGTTACTGTGGCAATGTACATTTCTACGATGCATTCTGAATACTTTTCCTATATCATATGCAACAGATGAACTAATTAGTTAAGTAGGTAGTAATTCGCCTTTACATAAGTATACAAAATGAAATCCTGCTTGATGGAAAGGAATACCCTAGGAAATACCTTTAATGTATTCGCATCGGGAGTTCTAGATGCCTGGTCACGGCTTTCTATCAAAATGAGAAAAATTTCCCCTCCAGTTGTGCTGTGCACGGACCGGCTACAAAATCCTAGTATGTGTTCTGCCGTGGAGCATTCAACTTTCTTGTTTTCTTTCTTCTAGGAAATGCTGCGAAAATCTTGGTCCGCAGCGCGGCGATGGCTTGATGGAGATGATTGTTCGCTCTTGGCGTAATTTAGTTCTTCGGAATCCACGCAGTGGACGGAGTAACTTAATATTGCACGACACGCTCTGGAACTCTCTCAGGAACGAGAGTTTGAAACACGGTTTTCACTGGCCTCTTTGGATGTTATTTGGCTACTTTTTCATAAAGAAAATGTCATATCATTTGATTTTTTTAGGATTTTGGGTTATGGTGTCATAACTAGCCCCCAGGCACAGAAGGATTCAAGTAAATTAACTATGTTGATTCTTATTGTCCAAGAAATGCTCTTTTCAACGATACCAAATTTGTTAAAATCGGTCAAACCGTTAAGAAGTTAGAGCAGGTTATTGCAAAACAAACGCCCCACACGATCTTCGCTTTTGAAATAACTGAGTTTTTTTACGAAAATGATAGATAAACAGGTTCTCTTTAAAAATATGAAAAATTTTTTTTACTTTATTATGCGAAATTGAAAGAAAATGCAATTTTAAAACTTAAGATGGCAGTTACGCCCTCTGGTGGTAATTTTTAGAACTTGAAAATAGTTTTCAGTGATTCTTTACTAGAAGCATCTATGGTTACAATTCCAAAGAAATATCTTCATAAATAAGGAAGTTGCGCAGAATGCGCATGCGCAAATCTAATGTTTACAATATGAGATATATTTACTGTTAATAGAAGAAGCATCTGTGATTAAAATTTCAGAAAGATATTTCGATGACAGTTGATATTGCGCATTCTGCGCATGCGCACATTAATCTGATATTTACAATATGCGATACGTTTTCTTTTACCAAAAGCATCCCTGGTTAAAATGCGATCAAAACTGTTTATGGTGAAATAGTTAAAAATATCATTGACTGACTTGAATTGTGAAACATTTGTTGCGCAATCTTGTGGCTGTGGAACTTTTAGATTGCTTTTGTTTTAAGGGTTGCATCTTCTTTAATTATCCTCTTGCCTTCAAATTTATTGTCGTAATTTGAAGCTTACGTACACCGAGCTCATTCAACTATAGCTCTTCAGTAAATTATAGATCGCGTCAACATTCAACTGATTCAACCGATGTGTGGCGCGTAATTTAAAAATAGCGTCGTATAGCATTAATTGAGGCGTGTTTGAATGGCTTTAAAACAATTTAAACGTTAATAGACAAAACGAATATTTTGCCTTCTCTCATTCTGAGCTCCCTTAAAACTCTTAAATTTAGCAAAGCGACTCGCTCGATAATGTAATTAGGACAAAACCGCTGGCGAAATTAAACGCGAAAACTGAGAATATGAGCCTAATTAGAATAGGAAAGACGTAGCGTAATTCAAATCTTCCATAAAGCTTTTGTCGTAAAATGTTTAAACATGTTCTCGAGCGAGCGGTCCCGAAAAACATTTCCGGAAATTGCTCCATCGCTTTTCGATTTGAGTAAGCGCACTTAATCTCGTTCTTTTTTTTTTGTTACAGAAATTTGTCGGTACGGCGGCGGCGAGAGGTTAACTTTTGGATAACGTGTCAGCGCTGTGGGTAGCGCTTCCACCGTCAAACTGGCAGCCAGCACCCTCACCGCGATGAACCCCCATTATCATCCCTACGGAGGTCCGGAGTTGACGTCTCCGCACCCTCCGAGTCCAGACAACAATAATTATTCCGGTCATCCCGGACCGGGCGGTCCCCACGGACATCCTCATATGCACCCCAGTAATGGACACAGCATCGGACCACTTGGTAAGTTATAGCATTTCATTAAATTATGTCGGTGGCAATTTTAAATTTTCCCCATTTCGATTCATTAGATGCGATCGTACTAATTCGTTCGCTTTGCAATAAATTTACTACAGTTATAGGCGAAATTGTAGTTCCGAGTTGTGAGAATAAAACCAAAAATAAGTCAAGGTGTTCTTTGTGTATGCACAGACGTTTATAATTAATTCCCTAAACTTCTGCTTAACATCGAATCGAAATTTATTTGAAATATTCCCTAAGATCGTCAACAAAAAATTATTGTTGGAAGTGATGTCCATCCGGAAAACTATACCTACCCACCACTAAACGATCAATTCGGATGTTATTTTACGTCGTGTAGTGAAATGTAATACTGAAGAAATCTAATACAAATAAACAGCGTCTTATGATACTAAGGTCAAGTTATAAATCCATTTAAATAAATACTGACAAAGTACATACTACATTTTTAACGACTAATCTAGAAATCCAGAGAGACATCGGGGCGCCACCAGCCGCCATCGAGGCGCCATCAAGTCGATAAAAGATTTGTCACCGGGGATAAGGAATGAAAGTGAATCCGACGCATTCTTTCCTTGAAATGTGATACGCGTTCTAGAGTATTCGAGAATGTTCCGTGTTTTTTGCTAGAAACTGTTCGTTTACAAATCTTGTATTTGATATGAAAATGAAAGCAATTACAAGAAATAAACCTTTTTATAGAAAACAGGCCCGATCTTGATTCAAACATGGCATTCCAGCCCAATTTGTGGAAAATATTTGAATTATTCAATCTAATTAAAGCTTCCGAATTCCGATGTCCTATCATTATTTTAGAAGTGTTTTTTCATTTAAAAATTGAGGACTTTTTAATTCACGCGGGCTGTAAAATAATAAGGTATTCAAGTTTGAGAATTCAAGTATCTCAGAATTTTTCCAAAGTTTTAACTTTAGTGCCCTATTAGACGAGGACAACTGGCGACGGCATCGGTGGTTATTAAAATAAAATTTAGGTCCCTAATGGTCGTTTGCACCGACAAATTTAAGCGGCGCTTAGCTTAAGCGTATAAAATCCATGGCAACCATTGTCTAAATAATCGTTGCCATGGATTTTAAGCTACGCTTAAGCTAAGCTCTACTTAAATTTGTCGGTGCAAACGGCCATAAGTGATCACTGTCACAGCTAAACTGACCTTGGTCTAACTATGTTGACGTTTTCATACTCGGCACTAATACAAGTTTGTACGGGACTTAAACTCGTTAACCAAAACACTAATATGACAACTGTTGAGTCCTCAAACTAGAATTATTATCCTTTAGTTATTCCTTTGAAAGTTCCTTCCAAGAAATTATCCTAGCACGACCTGTATTTAACTATTTCGCCTGTCCCTGTATATATTCCCTGTATATATTCCCACTTGTTACTTGTGCGAAGTTAAAGTTAAGCCTGCATTTGCGCATTCATCGAATAAGAATTAGTAGTCGTACAATCATCAATAATAATGAGCGTGTATTGTTAAGAAGCAGCACGGAATTTGTACCACACCATGAATTTCGTCGTTATAATCGCCTTCGACCAAGCTGTCGTACTGTCCTGTCGCTACTACTAAAAGCAACGCCAACCGTCTATCGCATTCGTTTGTTTATTTGCGATTTTCTCCCAGAAGCGTGAAACGTATAAATCCTTGTTTAGTCCTCTGGTTTCTCTAATGTAGGCTAAAATGGGCAAGATCCCGAAAGCCTTAAAAAAAAAGATCGAATTCGAACCAAGTAAGTCCTTTCATTCTTATTCCTTTCCTAATTATGTCAATGTCTAGTACATGCATAACTCTCACCAGGAAAGATTGCCGGTCACAGCACACCTTGTGTCGATTTACAATCTTTGTTTTTATTAAGATGCGAGCGACTTCTGGCATACCATCGTGCTAATGTTGAACAAAAGGCCTTTTCGTTCAACATTGACACGATACTATTCCGGAAGTCGCTAGCACCTTACGAAAAACAGAGATTGTAGATCGAGATCAAGTGTTCTGTGACCGGCAATCTTTCCTGGCGAGAGTTATATCGTCGTATCGATCGCCAAATCAAGATTTAGAACCAATTTATTTTATTTGTATTTTTATCAATGAACACGTTAATCATTCTTGTCATTCTTTCTTTCATCCCCTTTATACAAAGGCATAGTAATGCAATTACATTTCATCGAAGCATATTCAACAACAACAATAAATAATCCAACTAATTCAACATATATAAACTTCTCCAGTTAATTTCTAATAAAATACAGATTCATACATACAATTACCGTAATATTTTATTGTTCTTTGGGCTACAAAGAAAATACAAAAGTCACAATACCTTTTTCGTCCGTATTATTTGAAAGTGGTGAGGATCTCCAGAAAATCTCTCGTAGTGTAAAATTCCCCTAGGGCAACAGCGGCGTTATTTGGTATGTGTAGTTCTTTTCTTTAACAGAAATGGAAAAAAACTCGTTATTTGTTGACAATTAAATTAAAATCCCAGATTAATTATAAATTATCAGCATTCCACCAGCACAAATGGACAAATTCGTACTGGCGTGTCAATCGTAGTTTTATACACGTGCTGTCAGTAGTCTGTCGCTATTTTACTGACGATATTATTTTTATGCTGTTAATTTCACAACTTCACCCTTACGGATATTCTCGAGTTCATAGGAATAGAATTAGTGAGAGAAAGGGGGCCGAGTTCTCTTGCAAAACATAATATTCTATTCTTGAAACTGTATGAAAGTTCCTCACATATGAAAAGTGGGAGAATACATTTCTACTGGTAATAGTCGAGAGAAAATGATTCTTGTCGGGAGAAAGATGTGTGAATTTACAGTTACTGCACGATAGTTGTTTAAACCAGTTAAAGTAAATAGTTACCGTAACCTAATGAAAAGTCGTTGAATGATTGTAAATGCTACATATTTGTATTACACGCTTTTCTGAGAGAAAAAAGAACATAACCTATTCCTATTAGTTGTAATTAAAACGTTACTTGACGTGTGATGATAGGCTAGGTACCGCCTTCCAAGGCTTCATAATTTGCCCTGGCAAATATCCATCGTTAATCTGTTTAGATTGTAGAGGAAATTGAGACACAAATACGGATCCTGAAGAAACATTTGGCGTTGTACATGTAGTAGGGCCCATAGGGCGGAGTAACAAGCCACCTATGTGAATCATCTTGAAACTTATTAAACGGCAAAACTCAGTGATACACGCTTTTTAGGGGAGTCGATGGCGTCTGTCTCGGAACACGATAACTGGCAAACTTGAATCGATTTGGTTGAAACTTTGCAGAGTTGTTCTATGTGCCCATGGTATCTCTGTCTGTCTGTCTGTCTACTTGTGAACACAATAATTTGCAAACGCTTGAATTGATTCGGTTCAAACTATGCACACATAAATACAAGGTACTGGAATGTCACGCGGAACTTCAGGGTTAATAGCTAAAAAATAAATGGGATTGTTACCCCAATATTCGCTACTGAAAATGACTTCAAAAGGTAACAAAAACTGGATTTGCAAATACAATTTAATTCCATTTCTTTCACAAATCACACACTCGGCTTGCCGAAATTACACAAGACTCTAAATTTACTGGGTTCGTAAACACACGTCACAAAATTTAAAAGCAATTACAAACACCTTAAATCTGAAATTAAACCCTATCTTTCCTCCATACTACCTAAATTAAATCTAACCTAAACAAATTTAATGTTAATCAAACATTACAGACGACAAAAAAAATGATCTTGACGTTATGTGGAGTTCTTTTTATTGAATTGAAATACTATCTTGTTAATTGTTGGCCCCTCGGTTGGCCCTAATGATCTCCAGTGCACTTTATTAAAAAAAAATACAACCCTTACCAACCAATCAAGAATGCTTTATTTGAATTCATAAGTTCATTCGACTTTGCCACAAACACATTCTTAGAACGCTGCCAGGGCAAACACTGAACAATTAAAGTTGACCTGCATATTTATACACGTGATTAACAAAAGTTCCACTCTGCTCTCAACCTTATATCTTTTTCTTCTCCTCTTTTTTTTGCTTTCTACTTCTCAACTCAGTTTTATTAGTTTATATTCAGGGCTCTAATTGTATCAGCACAATTTCCGACTAAACCGAACAAACGAAAACGAGAGACCCGTGCTGATCTGGTGTTCCCCTCGGAATTTTTTTGGCGTGATTTATTTCTGCTTTTATCTTTGAGTGGGCGGGGTTTCAGCCAAGGTTGCTCTACCAACCCAACCCACTATCCATGCCCGAACACGGACCGGCTTTAATCTAACAATTTATAAAACAACTGGAGACATATCTTTTAACCTACGTGCGTACCCATTGAATGACAATGTTGTGTAATATCATTCAATACCCGCCAAAAAAATAAAAATCACGCCCTAGTCTTCAACACAATATGCTTGGCTCTACGCAACCAGAAGTAGGATTTAATCCGAATCACATGATATGTTCGACCAAAATTGAAAATGTTGAGTTCTATTGTAACCTTAGAATTTCAAGAATTTTTGAATTGCTCAATCTAGCAAGTTGGTTAAAATGGAAGGGATCCAATTTTAAGAATTTTAATTAAGGATGTGAGAAATTTCAAAATCATTGTTTTAGATTCCTGAAAGCTTAAAATCTCGAAATTTTTTGGGTCGTTATGACTTTTTGGTCTCTAGGAAATCGAGTTTTAGAATCCTCAGAATCATTGTATTTTTGTTGAAGATGAACCTTAAAGTTTGGAATTTAAAGATTTGCTGCAATAGATGAACCAATTTACTATCCGAAATGTACTAAAACAATTGACTACGTGTCTCAAAAACCATCGCCAAAATCAACCGGAAACGTACGCCGCCACGTGACAAATTCAAAACTTGCTGTGTGTCACATACGCAGGTCGGTAAGTCGACGTCGTCTTCTGGTGGTAATAAGGTCTTAAATTTATCACAAACAACTCCACGCACTTAAACCGAAAAAAACGTGAACTTACATTGTAGTATTGTGGTCTTTCGTGCACTCATATGGGTTAAGATTCTCACAACTTGAAATTTATAGAACCTTTGTACTAAGCTACTGACCGCCAAATTTGGCACGATTGTATTGTACATACTATACACGATAATGGCACAATTGAAATATTACTTCTAATCTTTGATAGGTTTTTTATTTAAAGGACATCCCGGTGGCCCACACGATCAATTCTCACATCCGCACCATCAGCATCCGGCATTCAGCAGTGCAGGTCCACCGCCCGGAGCGCCGCACCATCCTCATAGTCTTAATAATAACAATAATAATATCAAAATATGTGGTGGTTGTGGTGGAAAAATCGTAGAACGTTTCCTTCTCCATGCACTGGATCGCTATTGGCACAACAGTTGTTTGAAATGCTCTTGCTGCGGGGCGATGTTAGCGGATATTGGCACGTCGTGCTTTACAAAAAGCGGAATGATCCTTTGTAAACACGATTATACGAGGTAAGTCCATTTACTTTTCTATTTTTGTGCGAGGTTGTGCTGCTCATAAAGACAAGTGCGGCTCGAAAGGGGTTCGCGACGCATCCCCGCCGTTTTTTTTCCGTAATGGATTTACAGAATACATACATCGATCTGCACTGCGGTTTGTTTAGAGCCGTCTAATTTATTAGCATAACTGAATACGCGCCGCGACTTGTATCGATCTGTTCATAGTTGCTCTCTCTGCGCCCTCGCCACTCAAGAGGATGAATTTTCACTGATACTTAAATAAATTTCATTTTGTTTGAAGTGGGCCATTTCAATTACGAGGAGTTTGTCATTAATTATTACATTTGCATTCAGTTAGTCGGCGAATTTTTTTTCAAGTGCCTAAAAGCTGGAGTGGTTGGTTAGTGGTTTAAACGAATTTCAACTCTAATTAACCAATTTCGTCTTAAATTAACGTTTCGTGATTGACGTTCAGACTTTTATACTTGTTATTTGGTCAAAAGATTTCAATTCAAATTGCAAAGAAGACGCACGTTAGGTTTCAGAATGTTAGGTGTTCTCACAGAAGTAAACACTTATGCACCATGTTGCTTCTACAGATGACCACCGCACTCGAGCACCATCAAGCAGTGAATTACAATTGGAACGTATCGCACGAACAGTGCGACACACAAGATGGCCGACATGAATCTTCCGGGATCAAAATGACGTCGATTACAGGCCTCGTGTGTCAACGACAGGGATAGCAATTCGGGGGATTTAAATCCAATCACTACAATGAAGAGACATAGTCATTTTTAATTAGCCGCCAGCCTTATCTTTCCATTAATTTGTCTATTTTGTCAATTGAGTGCATTGCGGACTATTAACTAAAAGTAATACACGATCATACCTTTTATCTTGAATAAAGTCAACCCGGCAACGTTTAAAAATGGCCACCCGAATGACTATTCCCTCCAAAACTAAACAAGATCTCGCTTAAATTTGAAAAGTGGCACGTGATAAAACATCTAAGGCAGGACCCCCCTACGTTAGTTGTAAACAACGCTTTGACCTGAAGCACAGTAGGGAAGGAACGTAAAATAAAACACTGAAATTGTGAAAAGTTTGTTTAATAATGGTCGCAAATGTTAAGATTGTGAAAACCCGGAAATTTAGTTGATGTACATTAATGTAAGCAAAACCAGCAACGCCAAAAGGTGCAAGGTCTTTTTGTTAAAAGCAAGATGGAAAATTACTGTAGGCAAATTCAACTATCGTCAGAAGTATGTGGAACTTAGCGAATCGTAACTCATTTATCGCACATAGATTCTAAACCGAAGAGTTTTGATTAGCACAATCTCGCCCCCGCAAGATAGGTAACTTCGCCCCTCGTTCGGGGTTTCGAGCCTACATGAATGTCATTCTAACATGCTTACAGGGCTAGTATGTATACGGAGACGGCTCTTCACAGCCTCGTGTGCAGGCTTGAGAAGTGGGGGTAGCTCTGGGAGCGTTTCTAGATATCAAGGGTGCGTTTAACAACACCACGTTCGATGCAATTAGTAAGGGTGCTGAAAGCTTTGGCATTGATGGGTCAATCGTAAGATGGATTCGCGCCATGTTCGGAACGCAGTCATTATATGCTCAATCGGAACGACGGAGATGAGCCCATCGGTTACTAGACCGTGAAAGAACTTGTGTAGGGGGCTCTTATGAAAGTTGATAACTGGTGCAGTAGCCATGGCTTCTCCGTTAACCAAAAAAGACCGAGGTTGTTCCATTTACGAACAGAAGGGGAGCGAACATTGATGGGGACGTCAGCTGAGTCTAATCAGGTCAGTGAAATATTTGGAAGTCATCATGGACTCCCACCTGACCTGGAAAGGGCACATTGAGCGAATAAGTAAAGGCCACTGCATGTGGAAGGGGTTTTGCTTGTACATGGAGTTTGAACCCTCGATTGGTATATTGGTTCTACATTGTAGTGATAAGATCAACAATACTGTATGGTGGACTTGAATGATAGCTTGTCATGTGCCTACAGGAAGCAGATAGGAAATGTTCAGAGACCCGCCTATCTGAGAGTCACTGGAGCCATGAAAATCACGATTTTTGGAACTAGAGCCTTTACACTTCGCTGTGTAGGCAGAGACTCGAAAGGCTTCCTTACGGCTAAACGATTGGGCCGAGTGGAAGGATCGAGGCAGCCGTGGACACAAGCGGATCTGGGAGGAAACCCTCAGATCCGATCCCCTCCTCGCAAAAAGGGATGTGATCCGGGCTGTCTTAATAAGACCGAAGAGTTATAGGTCACTCTCCCGGACAGGGAACAGTGGCTGAACTCAGATTTCCCGTTCATCAAGCTTGAGGGACTCGTGTGGTTTACAGACGGGTCCCTAACGGAAAGAGGAACGGGATATATCAAAATATTCCGGTCGGTTTCTGCGCTTGATTGTAGTGTAGATGAACTCTGCATAGGTTAGGTGAGTCTAATAGGGTAACCTTGATCTGGGTGCCAGCACACTGCGAAATAGGGGGGTGGGGGGGGGGACAAAAGCGCGGACGAACTGGCTCGTGAAGCTAGTGGTGGGGCTTCGTCGGGTCCGAGCGTACCGTAGGAATTAAAGACTGGGTGATCTAGTCATTTCCAGGCTCAGTGGCAACAAGCAACCGGACAGTTCAGGGCCTTTTTAATAGGGCTTCTTGGAAAATGTGGGTCTGAAAAGAAGCCAGATTAGGAAGATCACATGAGGCAGGGGAAAGTACCGAACATGTCGTCTGTCACTGTGACGCCTTGATCAGAGACAGACAGCTCCTTGGCGGCAATTATCTGGAACTAAGGAGGGCGGAGCAACTTGTGCTAAACACGGTTCTATCCTTTATTGAGAAGAACGGGCTGTGAACCTAGTTGCAAGAGAAAGGGGTTGGCACAATAGGCCTTTGGTGTGCCTAGTGCTGCCTGGTCGGGCTCGCCTGTTAATAGAATATATTGTTCTGGTAGACATTTGCAACATTTTTTCAACAGTTACCCTATGTCAGAAATATCTCCCCTAATATTATAGTTTTTTGATACAGAAATTCTTGAAAGTACTAAAGGAAGTTTGCGAAGTTGAAAATTTAATTCTTACTTGTCTCTTCTCCTGTTCTATGCGAAATTTTGGACACGAGTACTCTACCATACGTTTACTAAACTCCTAAGCTTGAACCCGGATTGGCATCAAGGACTCTTTTGAGAGAGAAGCTCTCCTCAAACAAATTTACGGAAGCTCACCCTTTGGAGCAACTGCTGCACAATCCTGATACTAGTTTCTTCTATTTTGTGTCAAGGCTAATTAATTAATGTTCCGTACAATGTGTTTTGCTGTTTCACCGACGAAATCGGTGAATAATTGCAGATTTTGCTCTACCAACTAACCAAAATGAAAATGACGGAAGGAGCACAAAACCTAGTTCCTGTGGATTAAATCAATTCTCGAAGAATTTGGTGAATATTGAAAATTTTGTCTAAATTTTGGCATCATCCCGAAATATTTCCTGTCGCGCTAATGGGGGATACAATATCTCACACCGATGGACGGAAAAACGCCCATAATAATAGCACATTTTATCTCTTGAAAAATCCGCTGCAAATGTCTGCTCTAAGCCCGTTCCTGAAGAAGTCTTCGACCAAAATGTATGGGTAAAATGTTAATTTAATGTACAAAAATCAAATTTGGATATATTATTTTTGGTCAAAGTTCTCCAATACGCCAATAATATTTTAGTATGCTGTACTAAATTTGTACAGTCCTCGGTAGTATAGTGGTCAGTATCCCCGCCTGTCACGCGGGAGACCGGGGTTCGATTCCCCGCCGGGGAGGATTTTTTAAACAATTTATTCTACATAAGTCATACCATTCAACTCAAGCATCAGCATTCAATTCAATTCACCAAGGCGTTTCAAGGCACCGCACGTGGTATTAGGAATATTTAAAAAGTTGAACCGTTTTTTTTTGTTTTTCGCAATATCTTGAACCATTGATTTTACAGAAAATATTGACTATATCAAATATATGTCACAGTTCGATCTCAAAGGTAGTTAATATCACTCGAGATAAAAAGTTATGAAAATTGTTTACTAATATATGTCAATATTGACAATATATGTATATAGCAATAATAATAGCGATATCCTTTGGTCGTCCAAACTAGAAGTACTGATTGATCAACAACTAAGTAAGTGTCATTGTCTTAAAAAATATTATTTGTGCTCAATCGACCGCTTCAACATGACAAACTTTTGTAAGTCTATTCACCTAAATTTCACGGTATTTCCGTATTCACAACAATACATATTGCAATTCAACTTTATTGAAGGTCACGCAGTTTTAATCTTCATGCGTTAAAATTTCCAGTATTGTTCGTATTCAACGTAATAGTTTCTAACCCATGAATTGTCATTTGTGGAATGAGGGGCACTAAAAACTTTTAATTCTTAATTTTACGCGTTTGTTTTTTATGCACACAAACTTCGCTACCGTAGGCGCACGTAATTTTGTTCCGCAAATAATATACACTCGCGATTATTAGAGTTATCCTACTATAAAAACCACCCTGCGATAGATACAGGTGGTTACCTGTGACAGGAATCGGCCCTTAATATGAGAATTAGCATCTACAGAGTAAGAAACTCAAGTATCTATACAATTAAGATGTAAGGAGTGAAAAGTAACCCCTAACGATGTACTATAGGGATGATTCATTTCGTTAAAAATATGTGAGTACAGAAGACGAATCAAATGTATAAAGAAGATTAAATTTTGTATATTTTTTGCTGTATATGAATGGTTTTAATTGTTGGCTCAGGATAAATAAATTAAACGGCGCAAACGGCTTTTATTCGTGGACCATTTGTGTGTCGAATTAGAATTTATGCGGTTTCCCTTAATTCTTCTTTAGAGACCTTACGCGATCTTAGCGATACAAACATAAATTTAACGCCATTATTATGCAAAATTGTGGATTACGAACTTCAGTTTATAAATTCTCGC